TGGGGCAGCCGGAGGAGCGGGGCCGGGCTGCCCGGCGTTGCCGGTGTCTGCGCCAGCCGTGTGAGTCTGTAGCAATTTAGGTAGCTTGGACGTGGTCCCCGGGGCAGCCGTCCCCAAAACTACAACCGACGGCCGAGTATTCGCTGGAAGGGGGTCGCTGGAGGTGAAGCTGCTGCAGTTGCGGCTGCCCGCGCTGGGGTCGGGGTCAGCGCCTTGTCTCGCCTGCCCCGCGGTCTGAGCGAGCTCTTCTCACCGGCTCTGCTGCCCTGTCCGGGTTGAGTGCCCGCAGACGCTCTGCTCTTGGTCCTTCGGGGTTAGTGTTTGGGATTATAATCTTAGCGTCTCTGTGACTGACTGAGGACTTCATGTCTCCTAATAGTACAAGTCTTTCCTATTGTCAAAGTATCCGCATGTCTGAACTTTATCCTATTTAATGATAATTGGCTATTGGGGTTTTCTGTGGCAAGACCAGAAGTGACTTACTATATAGTGCAGTCAAGATCTTCCAACTGACCTGTGCCCACTTAGTGTTAAACTGACTTGATTGTTCAGTGTGGAGAAAGGTTTTTTTCAACTGACCTATATTGCTTGAGATGGTATCTTGTAATGCTGTTAGAAATTGCCTTGTACTTTAAATAAACCACGCTTATCCTCTGGTATTATTTACTCACGTACGTTACTCTGATTTGGTATGCATTTGAGGATGCTTTCATTCATAGCCCACTGCTGGACATCTCTGTTCTTTCCATAGGATTTTCCATTCCTGTGCAATTTGAGAAAGAAAATGATTCTTTTAATATACTACACAAAGTGATCTTTTCCTGAAGTTCCATTTTTCCCAGTACTGATCTAAATGTTAATTTTGGGTCCTCACTGTCCATAGCAGTTAATTGTCCTCACTTCTTTCTGCAGTGCCTGTTGTTGCTTCTGCAAATGTTAATTTGTTTCCCTAAAACTCGCTTATACAAGTTCCTGTAACTTTGCACACTTACTATGCCCTTGTTTGGAATTCCAGTTTTGTACTATTTTCTCTACCTTATAATATCCTGCTGCTGTTTAAGAGAAGGACTGTAGGTTGTACTAATCTCTCTAGTAGTTTTCCTTACAGGATTGTGTCTCCAGGCAGGACAGAGTTACCCACAGAGGTTTCTTTGCCAACCTCCTTTTGGGGTTAATACTCTTTCATTAATTTTATAATTAATAAGCATATCACTGTGTCTGTTATACAGCTGTCTTCATAAGTTGAATAGTTAAGTATAACAACATCAGTAACTTCTGATTGTGTTTTTTCTTAAAAAGAAGAGGTTTTTTTTTTGTGAAGAATGCATTTTCTATGTGAAACAATAGTATTACTTGACAAATTGCTCTGCATGCTTAGTAATTTTGAAGGTTTGTTCTTAAACTTGAAGGAGATCCTGGGTAAGACTGTTCAAGAATACTTGAATATATTTAACACAAGCTACGCAAGTAGATTGTGTTAAATATTTTGGCTATTATGTGAGGAGTGCTTTCTGTATCCTGTTACAGTTACTGATGATAATTTGTCCTAAGCATGTTGTTTACTTTACAGAATTCTGAGGATGTCCGATGTAAATGCATCTGCCCTCCTTACAAAGACCATTCAGGCCATATTTACAACAAAAATGTTTCACAGAAAGACTGGTGAGTGTGTGTGGCATAAACAATTATAATGAGTCTTGTTGGTAAAAGGCTGGTGCCATAGTGATTATGTGTGAGTCTCCTGTGGTGGTACTAGGAGAAACGATATCTCTGTCATAACTTACTGGAACTTTTAAGTATTTCAGAATCCAGCTCTAGGAAGGGACCAGGCTTGAAATCCAGAGGTTTTGCCCTGTATTCTGTTTTCGTTTGCTTGTTTCCATGTTTAGTTATTTATTTAGACTTGGAATTAGAAAAAGGGAAGTTGGTGCTGTAATTTGAATTCAGTGATTTGAAATGTCACAAGGGCAAGGGAGCACGGCCATGGAACTAGGACTCGGGAGTACCGTCTCCTCTTTCTCCACTCTTGAAACCCATACTGTAATTTAGAGACTTGTTTCTGGAGGTTTCTTTTCCTCACAGTTGCAGCCACAGAGTGCAGTTATATGACATGGCCTGAGCTTTCTACCACCACATTTTTTAGAGAGAGGTCTTATATCTCTGTGCCCTGACAGCATGCTCTATTATATTGTTTAGGCCAGGTACAGCATTTATTGGACTCCAAGCTGAGGACTGATGTGCATGGCCAGGGATGAGGGAGAAGAAAAGACGTTGACAGTGATTTGTTACATTGGCATAGCTCCCTTGTGTAATTTCACCTTGAGTGTCATTGTCTGTGTGAATCATACAAATATAACATCATGTTGTAGACTTGCATTGTGCCCAGAGATTCTTGGGTCAGCCTATAAAAACGTGACATACTTCTTGATGTATTGGCTCTTCTCCAGTTACATTCAGAATTTATGAAAGACTTTTCAGTCTGATGAGTAGCAACAGATTGGTATCTTGATTACGAAAATTTCATGCCCCTGTGGAGGCCCACCAAAATAATTATAGGAATAAAATTAGTAATGCAGATGTGTGTAGTGGTGTGCCTTGATTTATTAAATTACTTACAGGAGAACTGTGAGGAATAACACTGTAAATTTCAATCTAAACTAATAAACATAAAATGTACTGTCCAATCAAAATTACTATTTTTGTTCCACATGATGAACTTAACCACATTAGTTCTACTATGACAAATTAAGTTGCAGCAGTGAAACATACTGGGAGAATTGCAGCTGCAGCAGACATTTCAGAGTAGCAGTATCACTGGGTTTATTGTTCATTACCACTCTGCAAATGAAAATGGGTTTATTTATTTATTTTTTTCCCCAGTGGGTACTGCGTAGTATGTGCCTTACTAGCAGAAAAGACCCTGTTTTCCTTTAAATCAATATTGGTATGGATTGAAGGAGGAATTATCTTTCAAGGCTTGACTAATTTTTTGGTGAGAGATACTGATGGATATAGTATCTTAAAAGCCTGTTTTCCAATCTTAAGTCTGTTTTGTTGAGATAATTTCTTCTGTGACCATCTGGGAACATTTTATGGCTTTGGTCTTCTGTTTGAGAGACGTCTTCTTGTCACTTCCAAAAGGCTTGATTGCTACTTTATGTGCTGTAAAATTGATAAATTTAGTGCCATATTTTGACTTCTGCATCACTGCAAGTAACTTATTGAATAGAATTGGTGGATGTGCACCATCCTTTAGGTATTTAGATCAGTTATAGACCAGTTACCTGTGAGACGAGCCAGATCTGTGTCTTTACGAATTATGTACAGTATAATGACCACTTACTGCTGGCTTGTCCAGACATAAATGAAAATTTAATTTTTAATGTTGAACCTGTAACATATAAGCAAGACACTCGTGTTTAGATGCTCACTTGGAGTGGTTAGTTCTTTGTCTTTGGACTCACAAACAGTGCCTTATGCTAACAGCAATATGGGCTGGGGTGCTTTGATACCAATAAAAGCTGTTCCTCCTTCTGGAGTTCGGAACTATTTCAGGCAATCCCATCCTGATGGACAGAGTGCTAGGCAAGCATAGTGATGCATAAACACCTAAAGGGTAAAGAACCCACTTCAAAAGTGCTGGTGTTTGTTGTACTTTGAACATATTGATGTACAGAGGCCAACTTCAGTAGTAATTATAGACACACAGGGAGAGAGGAGGACACCCTGTCTACAAGCTGAATGAACTGGAAGTCTGTGCGGAAGCTGCGCTTCTGACTAGCCTAGCTTGCCTTGGAAGAACTGCTTCCTTGGTGCTGTTACTGTGGGTGCAAAGGAGAAGGTGGTAATATGGAGCAGTTAAGTGGGAAAATCCATTAGAAAGGGATCAGCTTTTTCTACATTTTCCTTTAAAATTGCCATGGAATCGCAGTCCAAGGAAACACATCATCAAAATTCTAAGGTTCTGATAGATCCTATGCTTCCTAGCGACTTGAAATAGTGAACCAGAGGAAAAAAATACTGGTGTTAATATTTTAATACTGCTGTACTTAAGCTACATACAAGCTTTCTACCATACTTGTGCAGCATATTGATGCGAGCTTTCAATCATGCGAACAGAAACTGCATAGATTATAATTTGATTTTGAAGTTTGAGTGCTGCACTCCTTCACAAAGAATGTAATTGTACTTTCAAATAAATGGGGAAAACAAGCCTTCCACAGTCTGCTCCAGAGACTGTGACTTTACACTCAATAGTTGTAGTTGTGAAAAAGAAATATGAAGAAAATAGAAGAGATGAGTTGGTGGCTGGCCATGTATTGTGATCTAGCCTAGAAGAGTATTGAATCCTAAACTGCTGCCACCACTTTGGGCGTTCTGTTTCATTACCTGCTTCTGACTGTGCTAATGTTGAATTAACAAGGATAAAGGTGAAACATGATTTTGGTTCTCTTAGTGCTCTGCAGGAGCTCTGGGGTGTGAACTCTGAACAACCAACCTGAGTCAGCAAAAAGACCAAAATGACAGAAGTTATTGATGGTAGCAACGGTCTTACGGCAGCTGGACTCTAGTGCTGTGGTGTAGAGTGCCCGTACGATTGTCAACCGTGTTTTTTGGCATGGGACAGACTTACATTTTGTAATCTTTTAAGTCACGTTATGCTTTCACATCTAGCTCCATTGCTGAAAACTGAGTGGTATTTATTCACTATGTTGTTGCTTAGCGAAACAGCCCATATGACGTCTTTTTTGTTTTTTTTTCCTTTTTATTTCTTCTTCAATGCCTGTAACTCGTAATGGCAAGAAAAAAGAACTTCTGTTCGTGAACACCAAAGAGAGATTAATCTCTCTATGTATAATGGAAGGATGGAATAAGGCTGTTTTGAGTATGTTGAATAAAGAAGTGTATAGCTGGAATTTACTTTCATCCATGATGACAGTGTCAAATGATGCATCCAGGCTGGGATTCAGATCCTTGGACTTCTTATGCTAACAGCTTTAATGCTTTCACTGAAAAATGAAAACATTGTACTTAGAAAGGTCATAAAACTTGTTTAGCAGATTGTCAATAGCTGAATTTTTTGTTTAAGTAAAATAATTGTGGAGTAGTGATTTATTTGGTTATTTCAAACTTGGGTACCTATAATTTAGAACAGCTGACCTTAAGCAGAGGTGGCTTCTCTGCTCATGCAGCTGGGGTCTGCATGCATAGTAGAACAGGTTAGCTAAACCCAGCTCAAAACTGACCTGGTACTTTCTGTCTGTCTTCAGTGATTGTCTTCATGTGGTTGAGCCTATGCCTGTCCCTGGACCTGATGTAGAAGCGTACTGTTTACGTTGTGAATGCAAATATGAAGAGAGAAGCTCTGTCACAATTAAGGTAAATAATGTAATTTTGTTGGCATAAATTAAATACTTCAACCAATTAGTAAATATGTCTGTCTTTTAGATAAATTCTCTTCTTAAAGGGAAAACTTTTCTAAAGCAGCCTAAGATTTAACTTTTTTTCATGATGGTTGCTCAGGATTTATCTTGAGTAGTAACAACAGCATCAAGCTATGGCTGAAAGAGCGGGCATGAGATCCTTTATTGAAGATCCTCACTTTTGAGATTAAGCTTTATACCTTGCTGAAATTCAAAGTGTTCTAGGCCATTTTTTTTTTCCCCAAGCTTTGGACTTCATTTTTGTTATTATTTTTAGATGACCTCTCATTATTGAGCTGTTTCACTTGCTTACTATAAATTTTCTTTGTACATTGGCAAACTAAAAAGGGCAAAATTGTCAGTGTTCACTCTAACAACTGGTTTCTGTATTCTTCACGTTTTTATCCTATTGGAGCCATTGAACCCTAGGCTGGTGTGAATAGATTGTGTGGTCCATCTTTTCTTTTGTAACACAGGCTCCTATTTTTGGTCTTGTAGAAATTTGTTATTTCTTTTTGCCTTCTCATTTTTCTTAGTGACTGTTCGAATGCAGATCTATGCTAGAGAATGGAGAACATGCGGGAACCCCCAAATTTATCATCCCATTTTAATGGCCAAACTGAGCAGTTGTGTTAGTTGAGGTGAGATTTATAACACCAGGTTGTTTTAAGAGGGATGGCATAAGATCGTAAGATTTTTAGCAAGGCCTCACTAAGAGAAATTGTTTCAAGTCATATTTTATCTGCCCCAAACTCTTTTAATATTAGGTCATAGTTTGATGTCTTTTCTCCGTTCAGGGGTTTTGAGTCCTCTGATGACACTACTAAAACCACCAGGCTTATCACAAACTTTGCATGTACTTCTTTGAGAGATCGTGAGGGGAGATGTCTTTGTATTGACGTCCGTATTGATAATTCTGACATAAACTGCGCTTGCATTGTGTAGGTTACAATCATCATATACCTGTCTATTTTGGGCCTACTCCTTCTGTACATGGTGTACCTTACACTGGTGGAACCTATACTGAAGAGACGTCTCTTTGGACATTCACAGCTCATACAAAGCGATGAAGACATTGGGGTGAGTTCACCAGAGTGCTCGTGTACTTAGGTTAGCATAAAGATTGCGGTGGTTAGTCGTTAAGTAACTACTTGGGGTGAGCAGCTTTTTTTGTGCAAGCAGTGTAAATGGTTTTCCTGAAGGGAGAGGAAAAGAAAGCTGTGTGATGACTTCTGTGAAGCCACTCTTTCATTTTTCACTGGGCTAGGAAGTGGTAAGATTAGGACTCTTTCAGTTATCCTAACTCTAGACACAGATTATTTTCTCAGAGAAAAAGTGGAGTAGGAATGGAGGTAAGCTATGTAGGAAGTACAACTTCTTAAGTATTATTGATCCATATAGTTGTGCTAGTGACCACATTTATGCAGATTGCTTACGGCTTAGATTTCTCTCTATAAAAGAAAGCAGAGGGATTGCATCTTCTATTGCTCCAGTTTGAATTTGAGAATGCTAAAATTCAAGAAGAAATTACTGTAATGAAGTAAAATAGTGACCGATGCTGAAATAATGTCTTAGTGTTACAGCTAGAAACTAGAATTTGACAGTACATCCTAACAGATGAGAACAGCCTTTCTGGGGGAGGAAAAGGGGAGCAGTCCATTAATGACTCAGTTTCCTGTCATTACTGTCCTTTCCAATCTCCAACACAGTGTTTTTGACTTATAATAAAAATGGAACAAAATTCTCTTCAATCATTACAAGAAAGGATTATAAGACCTTATGAAACTATGCTGAAAGAGTGAGACACTTCAGTAACTGATCAGTGTGGATAAGGAATACTGATTGGTAGAAGTAGGTCGTCTGTGTATTGAAGGGGGACTTGGAATAGTGTAAAAATATGAACTATGGCTTTGCATCTGATGAATCTGTGTGCATCTGAACCTGATAAATGTGCATGCCTGGGAGAGTATTGCCATAAAGTACTATTAGGAAAGTTTTCTACAACAGCATCTGGGTTGGTGGTGAAGTGTCAGTGCTGAACCACACAAACTGATAAAACAATTCTGAAGTCTCAGCAGCAATGTACTTTCGGTATTGAGCCTTCAAGCAGCACTGCTTTTACTGATAAAGTCCACTTCGGGTGTGGTGTAACCTTAGAAAGAATTTTTGAAACCAAAACCAGCATATGAAATGGGAACATTGCCATCTGCTTAACCAGCAGACATGAGCACTTCATGACTATTGAAGTGAATGAGAGCTAGTCAAAAAGACTTAACATTTTTCTTAGTGTCTTACAATAAAATCGTTAAGAATATTTTCATGGCTCCTTCAAATAACTAGGAAGTTAATAGGAGGAGATAAATACATTTGTTCTTGGTGAAACAAAGTTATGATGGCAGCACTTTTTAAAATCTGTTTAAATGTCGTGTAGTTCTGATTGCCTTTTGTTTCAGTGGCTTCATAGGTCTGAAGGTGTCAAAACTGGTAAATGTTATGCTGTGTATCTGTGGATGTTCATGTGAGTTGGGCTCAGTTTCTCCAAGTTGTTTCTGGTTTTGGAGTGACAACTGTCATTGCTAAGTAAACTGAGGAAAAGTATATACTTTAGTTCTGCAAGTTCATCAACAGTAGCCACATCAGCCATTTTGACTTAAGAGCTGTTTCTGTTATGATGGGGGAGGATACTAAGTATTCAAAATCAAGCATAATAATAGCTTTTATCAGCTGTGCCTTCTTTATTTACCTTGATTTCACAACAGAAATGTAGGATTGTTAGCCAAGTTTGAGCTAACATTGTCTGAAGTGAAGGTTCTTTGGATAGGGGTATACTATTGCTATTATGTCCCATTGTTTCTGCACTTCCTTATGTATTATATTACATGGAGACATATTCCAGGTGTCTTTGTATTGACATCTTAAGATAACCCAGTCACTTCTAGGACGATATGAGGGTTTTGGTTCTGTTGGTGCCTTGGTTTTTTGTTCTGGTTTTTTTTTTTTTTGGTTGGCGGTAGGTTTTGGTTTTTGGGCTTGGTTTTTTTTAAGAAGGGATTTGAATGGCCCTTTTTCTGTCTGCATTCTTACAGCAGACTGAGCAGATTACTGCTTGAACAAGATGTACTGTATGCTGAACCTCAGACAAATTATTTTTATTTTATACTTTAGGTGAATTATATTAATACCTCCAAATCTGGGTTAGAATCTTCTGAATAGTAGGTAGAGAAGTGAAATCAATCCTGTGGCAGAACTCAGGTTAACTGCAGAATGAATTTACCTTAAAATCTGGATCTATTTTAACCAATTTCATTTTTTACTGTTACTGTGACCATAATTACTGTGGCTAGTGGAGTCACTATTGCTTATGTCTACAGGATTGCTCTGAACAAAAAGTATTTCACAGGTCCTTGCTTAGTTCATGTTGATCCTTTCCTGTTTATTCTCCTTCCATGACTCTGAACGTGAAACAGTTTAAGGACTCTCATGACTTATCCCCATCCTTGCCTTCCCTCTTGCAAGTTCTTGGGTTATTGATCTTTGTCACACTTTGGAAATACTGTGTGCATCAATTTTGTTGCTGAATTTCAAGCCAGTATGTTTGCTGGGTTTTGTTGCTCACGGGGGGCAGTGGCATCTGATGAATGTAAACTGCTTCCATAGACCTCTTTTCTCTTAAATTCTCTTTTCCCCTTGTCGTCTGCATAGAAGTGGACAGTACCTAGCATTTGAGCTGAGATTGTTGTTTATCAGGGAAGCCAGCACCATGTAGCTCATCCTGTGCTTTCGCTCCCACCATGAATTTTATGGCAGAAATGTGTTGCTGTCATGGTTTTGTTTCCCTGTGAATTAAGTTTGCCACCTGTTACGTGCCTGTTCTAGCTATATCCAACTGCATATATTTTTATTATGAGATTATAGCTCATTATAGTGGGTCAGGGATTGTCTCTTGTTACCTTTGAGCATGTTTCTTAGCCCAGTGAGGCTCATGTGTGGCTTTGGGACTTGTAGGCATCACTTCAATGGGTATCATTAATGATAATGTCTGTACTATTAAGAAATATCATAGAGCTGCTCTACACAGTACAAATTCATTTACAGATAAAGTGTCCATTAATGTATATGTCTTCAAAAGTGTTCTGTGAAAAAAAAGAAGTGTAGACACACAAAGAAGACAGTTATTTAATATGGGACATAATTACGTTGTTTTTTCATTATGCATTGCATGTATGATGCTTTCTGACATAGCAACGTGACTTTGTCCAAAACAGTTTGATAGCTAAATAAGTTCAGTTCTAACTCTTACTGTTTATATCTGGTTATATTTACTATAAGAAAATAAAGCTTTGCAGGTACTGCTAGAAAGCAGAGTAAATATTAAACAAGCATTCAGTTATTGTTGAGCTCTGTCACTTAAACAGCTGTATTGACACTGTGCTTTTAGACAGCTCAGTACAATAGGTTTAGTTTGGTAAATATCAGAGTGTGTTGGTTTTATATAGAAGCTATGTGTAAACATCTTGAACTGCCTGACGGTAAATGGCCAAGAGCTGGCAGAGAACTGACTCTTAATTCAGTTTTCAAGTGGAGTGCCTTCAGGACAATAACAGGAGGCTCCTGGTGCCTGGGTCTGTTGTAGGCTTCTGTCCCACCAGCTGCTAATGGATGCAAGACTGTGGTTCTGATCTTGCAGGTCACCGTGAGGTCTGTGGGCAGCAGATAATTGTTTGACAGTACTATGAAGTTTGGCCTATTTGGGAAACCTGTGGAGGTTACTGTGGGTGAGAAATAGAAGTAGAGTTCTAACTATTCAAAAACTTGCTTGGTCATTATTACTGGCAAGCTTGGTCATTATTACAAGCTTGTTGAAACAGCTTGTTTACCTAAAAAATTAAACCAAAACCAAAATACCCCCCGCCTCCTTTGGACTGTAACAACAAAGACAACTAATGTTATTGCTCAGTGGAATTGTTGAGATCTAACTAATGGTTTTTGCTATTCCAGGATCACCAGCCTTTTGCAAATGCACATGATGTGCTGGCTCGTTCTCGGAGCCGTGCCAATGTGTTGAACAAAGTGGAGTATGCTCAGCAGCGTTGGAAGCTACAAGTCCAAGAGCAACGCAAATCTGTCTTTGACCGTCATGTTGTGCTGAGTTAATTGTCTCTCAGTAAAATAACTCCAGGGAAGTAAAGTGGACTAATTGAAAGAGCTGGCTTATGTCTTCCTGATCCTGCCAATTCAGAAGGGTTTCGTTGAATGGTTCATTATTGATCTAAAAAAAATAATAAAGTATTTGAACTTTGAAGGAATATACTGGAGTGGAAGCAGTTTTAAAAGATTAACCAAAAGCTAAAATCTTTACATTTTCAAATGGCTTTTACTAACAAAACTGAAAAGAAAATAAACCTTAAGATATCTTGGGTTGCCACTGTGGTACCTTATTTACAGTTGTGATTTATGGTGTTTTTAACTGTATATTTCTCTCTACTATTTATGTGGTTAAAAAGTACCTGGGAACACAGTAATTACTTGCAACTCACTAATCACTTTATGTAAAGACTTTTTGTAAATATACTTGGATTTTCTGCTTACTGATGCTAGGTACGGGAAATCTTAATCTTGTATAAGTGTAGTTTTCATATCAGAGAATGAAATCCTAATTGCCTGTATTCATCATTTGGTTCCTTGCACTCGTACTTTCAAGATGCTTGTATGTCAAGTGATGTTTGCAGGTTTAAGGCGAAACTTAAATGGACACTGAGTCTTCGAGCTGCATACTTAAAGTACTGTGATGTAGATAAACTCAAATGCAGTGCATATAAAGACAGTGTTGGCATTTTGTTCTATTTTGCTTTAATAGCTTAATATATTGTATGTGTATATCTCTTTAAAAAAAAAAAAGAAAATCTTTTCCCTTTCTTTTCATGGGTAAAGTCTCAGGAGTTAGTATATGATGAAATATTTATTATAAAAATCTTCCTGCATTTGTCTGGATTGATGGTGTAAGGCACATGCTTTCTCTAGCGCCTGTCATCTTGGGAGTTAGGTGTATTTTTTATCTGTGATTCTGTACTTATCTCTCAAGAGGTGTACGGTTGCTAGATGACTTTCATATATCCCCTTTGGAATGTAACAATTAAAGATAAAACTGATTTTTGAAAACTGGATGTATGCTATCCGTATGTCATCTTTTTTTCTCCCTCATTAACCTACATGTAAATTCCATCTGTAAAAGCACTTCTCTGAAAATGCATCAGAGTAGAAATACTACTTGGTCAGTGCCTAGGCAAAGGAAGGATGGGCTCACCAAATTGCTAACTGAAAAAAGATTTTAATCCCTGACTCAAATTTAGCTATGCATATGTAGTTACATTATTGTCTTGCTCAGTTCTCAGCTCTGATGTGGAAGGAGAAATATTGTATGTTGCCAGGCACAGTTTGGCTTGCTTTGTCCACAGCCTGTGGGGCAGAGTAGCATGGGAAATAAAGGGCACCAGCCATACCTGTACACATGGTCTGTGACATCTGGAGTGGAAACATAGTTGCCCCATAGCAACATTTGCATTGACTGCAGCTGTTTTGCAGATACAGAGCTTCATTCTCTTGTCAGTCCTGTAGTCTTCCAAAAACAGAGTTAATCTGCGGGATTAAATCCAGACTTGGATTCAATTACTGTGTTCAACATCCCACCCTGGTAAGTAAATAACCTGTTATGACAGTGATGTACCTGGGGTCCCCTAAAGAAAAATGATGTAACTTGTGTGTTGAATACGTGCCTCTACCAGTTCTATTAAATGTTCTACCTCTTGGCTGCCTTTCTGATGAGGTCTGAAACTGGCGTGGAAAAATGAATGCAAAATAGAGCATTGCTGTGGGCCCACACTAGGGCAGCTGAAGCAGAATGCTTTCTTTGGTGAATGACAGTCCCAAGAAGACATGGCTGGGTATACGTAGCTCTCTTGGTAGTAGATCAAGTGTTTAAGCTAAACTGGTTTGGTTTTGGGTTTGTTTTGGGTTTTTTTTTGTGTGGTTTTAATTTGATTGATAGAAGGGTCAAATAGTGAAATAGTCTAAAGTGTCAGGTAATCCTGTAAAATACGGGAGTTCTGAAGTGGGTGTCCTATTTCCTTGCACCTGTGCAATTGGACAGCTATGTACTGATATATGTTGCATCTATATACCTATACCTGTCTTTGATCGTACAGATAGATTGCTCCATACTGTGTTTCTAAGCTTCAGCAAAACATTTGTCTTGGTGCTGATTTCTCACTGTTTCAAGTCTTGTCTTGAGAACCTCCATAAATTCTTTATTAGGGACTTTTTGTATGGTGTTATACTTCTTAACACTAAGGGAGTTTCCCCAAATTGTAGGTATAATGAACATTAAATTTGAGGCTATTAAGGTAACTAATATGTGTTCTCACTTCTAATCTAAGACAAAGCCAGTGCAAGTTTTTTCCAAACTAATGGCAATTTTCTGTGTTTAAAGTGAAGCTGCTAAAATGAGTTTACTTATGCCTTGATGGTAAATACTTAAATTCCAGCCAATTGTTTATATTTAAAGTATGAAATGCCAATAAATTAAAACACTGCATTAGTAAAGTGTAACAGAATACATTCAGAAAGTAAACAAAGTACATTCCTGTAATCTGGTTGTGTTCAATACAGTTTTCAAATTTCTAGCCCGTGATGCCAAGTTTTGTTGCCATCATAGCTGTGGTGTGGTAGGAAAAGCCAAACCAGAAATGAGCAGATCTAACTGTAAGCTACTTTGCATGTTGTCAATTGACTATAAATTGCAGCAGTTATTGGCTCAAGCTACATAATTCAGGTAAGAGACTTGCATATTGCTGTATCTAGCAACAGATCTTCATTGAGTATCAATGTTTTTGTAAACCACTTCTACTAGCTATTCAGTAACAGTGCTGCTTTAGCTTTTCAATGTATCATGTTTAATGTGATCTCTGATTAAATAAGGTATAAGAAAATGGAACATTAACTTCTTCTTTGAATGTCATTCAGATATTTTCAGGTATTATTCGTCAGTCTTAAAATAGCACGTCTTCTTTTCTTGGATTTTACCTGCATCTGAAGATTGGTGAGTCTCTAGTCTAAAAGGTATAATCTTAAGACTTCATGCAGGTAGTAAGGCAACAGATAACTGTTTTATGCAATGTTGTTATGCAGCAGAAGTGTCAGTACTAAGCAACAAATACTGCAAGTGTCTCTTTGAGGGGCTGGTTTTGGTTTCTTGCTCTGTATGATGTTTTACTAAAAAGTTGGGGGTTTTGTTGCTACGTAGCAGGCATTTTTCCTCAGACAGTGTTTTAAGTTGTTAGCAGTAGAAAGTTTTTAGACAGTAACCTGATGTGTAATTAGAAAATGGAAAGATGACTGTCTCGTATTTTCATTTTCTGCGTGTATATTAATGTAAAATGTGTGTTTGTTTGTGCCTACCTACAGAAGTACCTGTTTAAGATGCATGTGACTTTCTCTCTTGCCTAACTGCATGCTATAAATGAATTCTTAACTCATAGAATGTCTGTTGTGAGATCTAAGCCTATTAAAAAAAGATACAAAGCTGAATGCAGAGGCATTTTGAACTATGGTTGAAACATTTGAAGCTTTGCAAGGTTTTTGTCAGAATGGAATGTAGTTTCTAGTAACCTAGTTAAATGTTCATGTGTGTTTCCATTTTAGAGAGTGTAACATAACCTAAGTTTTTTAGACAGCAATGTGTAGATGTGGAAGTGGGTGGTGAGTAAGAGCATTTTTTGATAGATGCTGTGTAGGCAAGGATTGCTTGCAGTAGGTGAGGATGGATCACAGAAATTCTTTAAAAATCAGCTAGTTATTAAAAATTTACTTTTAGGTAGCTATTGAGTAACAATCCTTAGTTATGCTGATAGTTAGCTGTTGGAATAATGATATTGGGAAGGCGCTATAATGTAGCTTGCTGTAAATCAGTGCAAGTTTATATTTCTAATAAATATATAAGGGTGATTTTGAGTAGTTATGCTTGCTGTAATGCTGCTCTAAAGAGAGAGTGCATGGTTTTAGTAGGCCAGTCTGAGTTACAGGTTTCTAGCAGTGCTCCAATGACACTATAATTGGAAATATTATTAGGACATGCATTTTTTTATTTTAATAAATTACTTCATAATCCTTTATCAGTTGGATTGTATTTGGTATTTCCTATCTGTTTAATCTGCAGGTGAGTGCAGAAGGAGCATGAGGACCTAATGGGATGTTAGGTTTAGCAGAAATTCATCCTCTAAACTTTCTATAAACTTTTTTGTGGAGTGGATGTAATACCTGACAAACACAGAATTAAGGTTGAGATCCATTCCCTGCACAGGTTTTCCATCTGTCAAGATAATGCAGTGAATGAGACATCAAATGAATAGAGAGAAAAAATCATTTTCTTTGAATGCTTTTTGGTATGGATAGGGAGTCTGTTACTGGAATTGTAGATGTAATTTTCTTCAAGGAAGAGAAGGGGTTTCAGAGAATGCCTCAGATATTGGTCTGCTTTGTTTACTGTAAGTAGAGATGAAAGTTTTGGTGGATTTTGAGATCCTAGACCCATGTGGAGTACATAAAAGTAGATTCTCTTCATTTCTAGAGCTGAGGTGAGAGTGTTTGCTGTTTACTTTAGGAAGCATTAGTGGCTTTATTTTCTTGAAATCTATTGTGACTTATTTTAATCAGTGTTGCTGACTTGCACTTTCTTGTATTTTCAAATGGGATGTTGCCTGCTCTATGTTACAGTCTTCCAACACCCCTCTGAAATTTCACAAATGCATTAAAAGTCTCTTCTGGAAAATGCCAGTAATGCCAAATGTTGATAAGTCCAGGTGAGGTTTTTTCCTACTGCTCGGTGTGAGTTATTTAAACTGTTATGTAATTATGCATTTCCAGGTTAAACACAGAACCTGATGGATGCCAAAAACTACTGTAGCCTCATGGACAAGCTGTCCATCTGTTCTGAGACTCAGTGCATACAGCTGGCTAGGCCTTTCTGTGCCGACCCAGTGCTCACCTTTCACGTGTACCCAGAAACACCAAGCCAGGTCACTTGCTCTGAAGATTTGTCATTCCTTCCTTTCATGTCTGAGCATCTCATCATGGAGAATTTCT